GTCTCCTTCTGACTAATATACGGCTATCACTGGCACCAAGACAGAAACGATTCTCATCTGTGTACACAGCAGATCTTCACTCTCCAATGAGTTCTAGCTTGACACTACCGAAGATGGCGATGATTTGGAGTTAGTCGTATGACCGCTACAGGGCGTTTGGCTCGATGCTGTTCTTAAGTAATCGATTTGTTATAGTCCGCTGTGTCACTCTGGTGTCAACAAAAGCTCGTAGCGAAAAACGATGGTCCTCTATATTTGCGTAATGGCACGCATGCGACCGGACACTGGTCTTATTGAGATAATACCTTCCCGTGATCACTGTTACCCACACGCATGCACAGCGGACACATCCCTGCCAAGTCTTTCTGAAATATCGAGAAAAGAAAATTAACCTTCTAATAGCCCTACTATAAAGCCTCGTTCAAACTCAGTTAGCTGCTAATACTGCTTTCTTCGCCTCTTTAAGGCATTCTGATTCAAATCTCGTTCACAGCGTCCAATCCAGAAGATATGTAGAGCACACAAAGTTTACATCGCTTATTTAAAACAATAGTGATTTGCATGTTTCTACTGATGCAAAATTTATTTGTCCAGCCTAAAATCTGAATAAATGTCGTCTTTCAGATGTGCAAATATGTCTCTCAAATTTCATTTATCTAGCACAACTCCTTGCTATTGAGATTTTCCGTTCATTAGATTTCATTCATTTCTGTTCCGTTGGGATCCATTTTCCGTCAGTGTATATATATGTATAGTTTGTCTATCATAAGCTGTCTGTTGAAGTAGAAACGAGCCTTGACACATTTTCCGTAGGGGTGCTTTGAAGATTTACTTTTCAGTTTGCCATCATGGCGCATTTAAAGGGGAATTGGCAACCCTTGGTTCGCCCCTATGAAATATACTATCTCTGTTGCTATAGTGACTGTCCCCCGCGAGACACTGTGGCGGGATACTAAATGACCAACCGCAATGTATTAATTAATGCAGCTAACTTTCTGCTTTCTTCAAGGCAACAAGCAAGAGGATTCAATATTTATAACTGATATTTGCATGATCATACAATTATTGAAGTGAACCGAAAATTCAAATGTGTGCTTGAATCATTAGGCGCATTTTATTATTATCTGTTTTATTAAATGTGTACTGCAGTCATCTAGTGTAGTTAAAACTATAAAGTTTTCCAGAATACGTTATTTTCGTATAGCAGTACATCAAGACTTCAGTAACAAAGCAGAGTGAATTTATTTGTATTCATAAAATTATATTTGTTAATGAGGTTGTAGAGTACTTAGGTAATTTTTAAAACAGGAGTGATGAAAAATGAGCAACGCCTTCGCCGGGAATAGAACTACGGACCTCTGGTATACGCGGCCAGCGTGCAGACCACTACACTACGAAGGCCTGCTAAGAAGGCGGACGAAGTACCTTATATACAACCCCCTTTTAAAGGATGACCGGGGTTTTTAAGGGACCCAATCGCCAAATCCTTGTTGTGGAGAATCATCATCCACCACCCTTTTAGTTCGGGCGCCAATGTAGAGACATTAGGTATTTTTTGAAAGCAAGAAAGATGAAAAATGAGCAATGCCCTTGCCGGGGATCGAACCACGGACCTCTGGAATACACGCCCAGCGTGCAGACCATTACACTGCGAAGGTATGCTAAGTAGACGGGAGAAATAACTTATAAGGTACTGCGAAATTAAGAACAGAAAAACCATTTTAGGTTCTTCCAAACATAAAAATTTGTCTGTTAATAATAATGAAGAAGAAATTTTTGTATGAAGAGGTCTAAGAACCCTTTTTTAATAAGATAACGTTCATTTATGCAAAAGACATATTTCAATCGTAGGTCTAGAAATAGAGTAACTTGATTCCGTTATTCGTTCCAAAGAACGTTCAATCTACTAAGCTTTAACTGTTACTGATTGCCATCATTTTACGGTCATTCACTGTAACAATTACTCTGACCCTCTGTCTTATGCGAGAACACACTTATGCGGTGCACTGGTCATGTCTGAATTTATGGTTGGTTGAACGGTCATGGTTGACAAAAGATGAAGAAAAGTATTCGTTCTCAGAAAAATACTAGAAATCACAAATAAAGGTTTTTCGGTCTAATCTTGACTTTTTCAACAAAAGTACGAAGATGGCTAATTACATTCATTTCTGTATACAAGAATTCTGAAATGTTATTTTTTAAAAGAACTTGTCGTTTGTGCCTTTACAAATGAATATTATGTATCTTAGGCATGTCACAAATATTGATAAACTTTGCATAAATTGAATAGTTTTTTAGTCGAAATATAAAGTTCTTCCATTTTTGCATATTTTAATCTTCGGTGAAACAAGAAAAATGAATATTTGCAACTACATTTTGCGTTAATTATAAGCAAGATTAAATGTATTTTTTAAATGATTTATGAACCCACTACAAGTATTACCGAATGGCTAAAATCAAGAAGATACTGATAGTTCATTTCGATTCCTGTTTGGAAGTTTCGTGGTTCTATCAGATAATATTACAATTGGCCAGAAGATCCTCCTCAGCCTGCCTTAGCAAAAATAGCTCAGATTGGCTTCGCCATAAATAAGCAGTTTAGGGTACATGTGACAAGTTTATACTACGCATCTTCTAAACCAAGCTTTTTATTTTACAATTTTGCCAAACAAAACTATTTTCGTTTAAGTTGAACACGCACTGTATCTGTTTAACTCCAACTTCTGTGAAATAAGTACGTGATGCCAAATTCTATGTTGTTTTTACTGCAGCATTTATTCTAATATTATTAGTAAACATGCATTGGAATTTAATTCAGTAAAACTGACAACAGTTGATTGTAAAGATGACATTGATTGCATTCTCACCATTAACGTTTTTTTATCCTTACAGAGGGGGAGGGAGGGAAGGAAAAGAAAAGAAAAGAGAAACAAGAGAAAACTGAAATACTTTCTCTTAAAATCAGAGTCAGGCTTACTGAAACACGACACTGTGTTTCTGTCATGCACATCCAGTGACAGCCAACTAAAACCGGTGTTTCAAATGGCTATCACTGGTGTAGATAAAAATTTCACCAGGCTTCATGTTTTCATTTGCATCAATGAATATCGTCTACATCACAATTAATTGATTTGGTTATGATGTAGGTGATGACCATCACTAATTAATTCTTCATTTTAATTGTCTGTCATTGGTACAGGGGAAAATAATTGACAATACCTATTTCTGAAGGCCATAGGAAATTCTTTGAGAAGTAGCACACCCCGAAAGATTATAAAAATGAAATTTGTAAATTTTTCAAAAAAAATAATGTAATTATAAAGGTAATTATAATGGTAATTATAAAGGTAATTTTAATGGTAATTATAAAGTTTTGTTTTATCAGAGAGAAATAATCTTGGATTTTTCGTAACAAGTTATCATTTTCAGATTGTTGGATAGAAACCTAAAATTCTTTTCTATCGGATGGCCAAAGCAAGCGAAGTCTCCCATGTCCGGTTTGGTTTATCTTAGGCCACCCGATAAATTAATGCGACTAGAACAGAATATGTTTAGTTATTTATTGCCAATGTTTTAGTTATTGATTTATTCATCTACGACATATGTTGCTTTGAGCTAACTCGTACTTTTTCTTTTAGCCTTAAACTCTTTCTTATATTTGTTAAATTATTTTTTAAAAATAATATTTTCTTCAAAGAATTTTCATATCTAAATCATTCCGGAATCAAAAAATCGTAGTAAATTATTTCCTATATTTAGAAATGGAGAAACTATTTAAAATTATAAAGCTAAATAAAGATAAGTATATGCAAATATTATACATTTTATGCAAGTATTACTTATTGTATTTTCTCCTTATTTGGTGAAATGGTGGTTCGTTTTGCGAATTAAAAGTTCTTTCACTTCGCGAGATGGAAATACATTTCGTCAACTAGCCGAGAAGTATCGAAAACTTAACATGGCTATTCTGCTTATCGGAAGAAATATCAAATGAGAAATATTTAAGCTTACGTTTATAAAACTAATCACTTTCTAGATTAGATGGACTGTCTTATATTCTGTATGTCTGTTTATTGAATTTCTCCTATAGGTTCTTAGTGGGGAAGAATTATCTTGAAAACTTCAAAAATAATAATCAGATATTTCCACACCGTATTAACTAGCTGACTTAAATCATTTTTGTTAATCTAAAATATTGCTGGTATACCAAAATAGCCATTTATTTTATAGCATACGAACCTTTTTTGCTAACAAAATTTCGTAACTGTAATTTAAAAGTGATTTTTATAATGAAAGAAATTCTATTAATCCGCCTTAAAGAAAATTAAACATTTACATGCATTCATCTAGTTAAAAATTTCTTCTTTTTATTTTCAGGAAAGCTTTTACGAATTTCTTGATTTACTATTATTATTATTATTTGAGGATTTTTTTTTACGAAATCGTGAATTAGTTTCAGGAAATACTTATTTAAACGGGTGTTCTATTATGTAATTAAGAGCGTATCACTGAATGAGATGTTCAATCACTTAATTCAAAATGTAATTTTATTCATTTATTTACTACATCGACACAAAAACATGAAGCATATGTTCAGCAAAATACACATAAAAATATAATGGAACATAGCACATTAACACACGGCACTAATGCAGTATAAATGCGTACAGATTAAAGTTCTCACTGTTGTTCTAACGCTATTCTTCCCTGTCGCGGGAAATAACAAGAACAATTAAACATTCTTAGCGATTTTAAGTTGGAAATAATGACTGCAGCATTTTCTGAGCATCTGACCAAATGCATCTTAGTTTCTTCCTTAAGAATAAAATCTTTGAAATGAAATAAGATATTTTTGAATAGTACTGATACTAATTTCGGTGCCACTGCTTTCGAATTAAACAATATGATGATCGTATGCAAATGTGTTATATGACTTATTAATTTTGAAATATACATTTTTTATATAAAAAAAATGCATATAATAATATATTTCTACCCAGGGAACAACTGCGACGAAGAATCCCTCAGAGTTGATCTTCAAGAGTGCCGCACAGATTTTAACGATGAAGAAAGAATAGCAAGAAGACACAATGATAGTGATATGAGGCATCACAAAACATGCTGGTAACTATTACAAATTCTATTTTTAATCAAGGGCACTTCCCAAATAATAACAAAGAAAAAACAATGTTACTAAATAATATGGAAAATAATTAAAGGAACAGTAATAAGCAGTAAAGAAATCTTTTTTAAAGAAACTCGTATTAAATAGCGAAAAATCGATATAATGTGAATAAATTTGCAATTTATTACTTGTCAAACTTTTCCCGTAAATTTCAATTCTTTATCCTCGTTTTTTGTACTTAACCCTTGCTTAACTGAGTGGGTTTTATCAGCCCCAAAGGGCTATTAGCAAAATGTAAGATATCTTTCAAACTGAATCAGTTATTTGTTAACAAACTAAGTTAATTAAAAGCAATAGATAAATATATTATTTTTTAAACTTTTATTCGGATTGGTTTAACTAAAAATGCATTAAATTCATGTTATATCTTATTAAAAACATTCAAAATTTGTATATACTTACGTTATTCGCTTTCCGAATAAACAAAAGATATAGAATGCTCCCATTGTATATTCGTTTAGTATATTAATGAAATGTTTTGCTATTCCATCTGAGCTATCTCTATCGATAATCTCTACTGACAAAACTCAGAAAACTTTAAAATAGTCCTTTTGGGCGACCGTTAGAATCTGAACCCTTTCATATCTTTTTTTCTTTAGTTTGGTCCATCTCGCTTTTCTGAATTTTCTCTGATTTTAACATTCTTTTAATATACTTTGTAGCAATTTTACTGTGGCTCGGCATTTTACGTTCATTTATTTATTCCTGCGCAAATTTACCCACTTTACTCAGGTTGCTAACGCTCTATATCGCTTGCAAAACTAGTTAAGATGTTTTCATGCTTAAGTGCCTTTATTTGTCTCATTTAAAAAAAAAGTGTCCTGTTTTAGTTTTTTAATTCAACGTTTGATTTTAACAACCGTCCTTAGCAGGTGGCAGTGAAGCGTGAAAAATGGAATATGATGTTGAATGCTTGTATAATATAATAAATGAATTTAATCTAGTATACATAACTTTGTACTGTGAAATTAAATGGCATATTCAACTTCTTAGGTTGAAATAATTATCTTAACCTTCGGGAAAATTATCGCCCTTTGCTACTCTGTTAACTGAAACAATGATTTGTGGTATAAAACTATTACAAAAAATGAGGCTACTTGCTCTAAAGTTCAAATATTTACATCAAAACTAAATACCTGGTTAACCAGTTAAAACTGTAAATCATCTGCCAACGGTAGAATTACTTACTTGCGTTAGGCCTCCAACCAGTACAGCAAAAATTCGGCGGCAAACGCTACAGTTAATGAAAATTATACCACATAGGGCTGGATTAAGACTTTTAGAAACCCTAAGCATTTAAAACATTTTGGTGCCCCCCTACATAAATTTAAACCTGTTTTTTCCCATTCCGTTTTGTTTTATTTGCATCATGTATTCCACGGCTAAAGGAAATTTTTTTGGTGCCCCCCTTCCTGAATTGCAAACGGCCTTTTTGTGATGCTCATTTTCCTTGATGGCCTAAGCACGTATTTATTTTGCTTAATGGTTAACCCAGCTCTGTCCGCATGCCTTTAAATTCGCATAACTTTCTAATCAGAGAAACTAAAATTGTGACATGAGTCAAGAAGGCTAGGATAAGGTTTAATTCAAAATTTAACTGTTAGAAAAACTTAAGAATAATTGCAAAAGAGAAGAAAAAATTCTAAACTCAAATGACTCTTGTTTGCTCGTTAAGTTATTCATATTACTTTAAAAATAAGTATAATATATTTAATTTTACGCTTACTTTTAACAATTGTTTTTCAATCCAATAGCGCTCTAGTGAAATACGAAGAATGTGTAAAAAAGACAGTCCAAGGGAGATGTGGGAATAGAAGAAGATACGAAGAGAGAAGTCTAGTAACTGACATGAAGCAGAGATACCCTGATTATTACTGTAATGACCATACACTGAACGAATGTTCGAGTGCTGTAATTAATAGCTTTTCACTACTCTGCGCAATATTAACTTTATCATTAACGTTAATATCGTCAACTATGAAATTTAAATCTTTTTAACTGAATGATGTTGACGAAATTGTACATGCATATTATTAAAAAAATGTATATTATATGTTAAAAAGCATAAAGTTTCTCAAATATCAAGGATTATTACCTTAGTATCACTATGGAAGTGATATGGCCATGGCAGAGTGAAAGGAAAATATTTTTGGAATACGTTATTAGTTAGGAAGCGCTGACATTTCCCTGCATTTTGAGGCCACACTTTTTAGGTAGGAAAGTTTACGTACTTTTTGAATGAAGATATAAAACGCTTTCTTGAAAGCGATGTATCATGCTTTTACTTAAATTTTGACATTAATGTCGTTTCAGAATGGAAAATACAGGTCACTTCATAGTCTAGCGACATAGAAATTAATTTTTTAAAAAATTTATTCATCACAATATTACTCATCTGAGTGACTACTTTTCTTGCTGCGGATTTTCAACTCCTGCATGGCTCTGAAGTAGTTTTCCAAAAGGATCTTCTTCAAATATTTAGTCACAACTCTTTTCATACATGCTTCTTTGGAGGTCATCAGCGGTATCAGACTGGGACCTTTTCGGCAAAATGACGAATTAGTTTGTGCAAAAGGAAGCTGGTTGATATCACGACAAGCTGCTTTTCGAAAGAAAAAGAGATGAACTATCTTTGTTGAATGCCATATTATCAAACAAGAGAAAAAACTCGTTAAGTGCGAATACAAGGCTGAACGAATGGGTGACATAAAGCTGTGCAAAATACTTTAATAATATTTTGTACTAACTACATAATCTTGCTACAGAGAGTCTTTGCGCACCACTTAACTGCACTCCCCCCCCCAAAAAAACGTGTTTAAGTGATTTAAAACCGCATGCCTTTTAAGGCTTTCGGATTACTTCCTTTTCTCTATAACCAACCAATCAGTTATTGAAAAAGACTGTTCCTTCTTCACAGCTTCCTCAGATTTTTCCAGAGAATAAATAATAAACACTGTTTGCAAGAACGTCCTTTTTTGATACAAACTGAAACCATGCTAACTCTGATTGGTATGGCCTTGCCAACGATGGGTTAAATGAGACAATTACCTTAGTAAAAAATTGAGAAATGGAACAAATAAGTCATAAAAAGTATTTAACGTACAGCATTTTTCAGATTTACTTCACGTTTTACGACTAAGACCTGTTGACGCGACTCTATTGCTTAGTAACAATTTCGAATCCATAGTTCCATCTCATGTTGATAAATCGCGACAGATATGGTTGTGAGAAATAATGCTATGAATCTATAGACTCTTAAAGCTTTATGCTGAGATTTATAGGCTTAGGCAATATCCAAATCCTACCCTCTACTAAACTACGACCTGGCAACTTTTCTTTTTATCTATGGGATCTCTTAAAAGTCGTGAGTTATGTCAAGAATATTAATAATTATTTTAAAATAGGCATTTCAAGGCCGTCGCTAACCTGCCCCATTTGCAATCACAACTCGCGTGTCATCACCGCACACCATTTATTTTCTCCACAACATTTGAGACTGTAATTCAAGGTCAGTCTTAGAAATGGCAACATCGATGGATCTTATGTTTTAAGCAGTACGAGTAAAATGTGGCTTAGATTTTGTCAAGAAGGTTATTGCTCTACATCACCTGAAAGAAACAGTTCGTTACACCTGTCAAAATATTTATCCTACTGTCATCAAATGTGTATTACTGGAGCGCAAGGCCGGCACCAGATCACGTACGGAAAAATTCTTAGAATTTAGGATGAATTGGCAGGCCAAAAGTCTAGCGCAAGCCTTGCTGGAAAGGCAGTATCGGCTGGATTTGTTAGAGATGCTAAACATTTAACGTGAGGTGGGCCATTTTGCACAAATTATATTAAATTCCTTAGTATACTAGACTTATATCAGATAGCCTGTAGAATATGCATTTTCCATACTGAAACGAATAAATACCTAAGAGCTCAGTCATAGTGTAGATTTATCCCAAACAACTTTTTTAATTTGACAGGATAGGTTATTCAGAAATATCATTATTCATTACTTTTGACTCATTTCTATTCTTTCATGTTGCAGTTTTGTAAAAGATATTGCCATAAGCATGTATAAAAAATAAAATCTTGTTTGTTTTTGTCTCAAAATGGTTCGTTTTCCTGATAATTAAAAAATAAATTTTTATATATATATTTAAAATTAAATGAATCAGTTTGGATTTTAATGCTATGCAAAGCAAAGGGATTATTCAAACAGTAACAAAATATATAATTAAAAAAAATCACATATTGTTGTGACATTTAATAAAACAACAGACAATTATTTTGATAATTTAAAGTTAAAACATTACTATTCAAACTGTGCAACTGTATTAAACTATCCCATTATTTCAAAGAACATAACGATTGTTTGCAAAACTCTAAAAGAAAATAATCATTAGAAAGCAAAAATCAAAGATGTAGAGGACGACTTCAACACTACTTTTCCTATTTTTAACATGTTTAAAAAATATTGTTAATTCATAATTACCTAATACTGAAAGATTCTTTAAAGATCAGTGATAGTAATTAACATCTGTGATCCCAAAATTTTTAGCATTAATGTAAAATACATTTTTTCCGAAATACCCCTTCCTTCTGATTAGCTTATGAGTATCGCAAAGCACACGAGGTGTTACCTACTTGGGGAAGATGCCTTCATGGAGACCTTTTAAAGGGCAACTGGCTTGTAATCATGTTACACGTGGTCAAAACCACAGAAAGCAACCATGCAACCTGTTCATCTAGGATCAAACTTGGCTTGATCTCTCCGCTTTCAAAGTTCTTTAAACTTTCGGTAACTGATTGGGCTACTTTTGTGAAACACTCCCCCCCCCTTGTCCATATTAAGAGTACAAAAATAAATTTAAAGACAGCTAAATATCAGATAATTTTTATAAAACTGCGAAAGACTCCTACTCAATAATGTCTGGGATTGTGGAAAACATTGAATATCATTTGGTGATTGACTTCTTAATGAACGAAAGCATAATGCTACCATATATTCATAAATGTATGGTTGCAACCTATAGCGACACTTTCTTTCCACCCACAGCAAGACAATCTTCTATTATCATATCAATCAAGTAGCCCCCCCTCGCCACAATGAAACTATCTTTATTATGGATTGCGGGCCCTCAGAATTATCTCTGGTGAATAATAATCTGATGTAGTTAAGTTCTCTTCAAATGTCAAAGTTCACTGAAGGTAAGATAAGCACTGAGCAAGTAAGTGCTTATCTTGAGGATGAATGAAGAGTGAGAAGATTTACAGTTTCAACATTTTAGTTCATTGTTCCGGAATTAACATTAAGAAACATAAATATGTGAAAGTATAATACAATCACAGATTAGTAATACAGTCTGAAATCTTATTATCTTATAAAATCTAGGAGTAATCAAACATAATATTCAAGAAAAAGCATGTGCCATAAAAGCAGTTTATCTCCTAATCAAGATTCCTGTACATTCCATTGTCGACCAATGCTTAACAAGTACATTTATTGATGTTAGGCAAGACCACAGTTTCAGCCCTTGAAGAGCTGTGGGGGCCAACATTTTTTTTTATCTGACCTAAACAATAAATGAAGCCCCAAGCCATACTGGTTTTCTTTTGTTAGCACAGCCAAGAAAAGGATGAAAAAATTAGATTCTGATGAACTTAGTTCATTTAGCATAGCAACTGGGTTCTTTCTTGAGTTTCTAAATTTGATTCAGCTTATTTTTTGCAGGCTATTATTACTACAGCTATTTTACCAAATTAAAGTTTGAATTTTCAATTGTGTGAAAAAAAGTTCCTAATTTTGGAGTTGTAAAGTGAAAGCAAATTTCTATGTCAAACAAGCAATAACTGGAATTGCCCCCCCCCAATAAATAAAAATAAAAACAATAATAATAAATAAATAAGAAAAAATGGTCAAGACATACATGTTTAAAAATTATTTGAGGAATACGGCATTGGAAAGTCCTCCCCCCCCCAAAAAAAAAGAATTTAAAATATGTTTGTGGATTTTGTCACCCCACTTGCAATGCATAGTAGAAAAATGATTCATTACACTGAGAGTGACAATTGAATGAGATACAGAGGGCATGCAATGGATGAGTCTAATGCTAAAGGCTCATGCCAAAATATTTCACAAGAAAATGGACTTAAAAACTGAGTCAACAAATTGGTTAACCAAATTTTAAAATTGCTATGCAATAAGGTGTTAGATTTACAGGCAAAATATCATCAGCTGAAGCAGCTTAGCATTTTGCTGATGGAATTCATTGAACTCATTAATAGCAAAAGTTATTTTTGCTGATGGAATTCATTGAACTCATTAATAGCAAAAGTTATCTCCAGAATAAATTTATAATGCTAAATAAACTAGTCTTTTCTGGCAATATGTGTTCCATAATACCATGGCAACCTCTGAGGAGCAATCCTCAAGTTCGTAAAAACAGACTAATGATTTCGGCATATGCAAATGCTGCACGAATGCAAAAATTTAAACTTTTCATAATCGCAAAAAAATTTACAACTCAGGCATGACTGGAATCAATATTTCTCCCATCATCTGTCACTGAAATAAAACAGCATGGGTTTAACCGTTTCATACTCAAGGCTCAGTTATTTACCTGATGATACAAAAATTATCCTGATTATACACAATTGTTAGCTCATAGATCTTTTAAAGTTTTAATAAAAAATAAAGCCTCTGCCTTATTCTTCAATGCCTCATTTAGCCACTGGATATCGAAGCACTGCATGCACTATAATGTGGATATAAAGTAGCCTTTTCATAATCTCTGGAAAATTTCCTGAACAGTGGTTAGGCCATTCAAGAATTTTTTAAATATTTTAACTTAAAATCTGCTGTGTCAAGCATTGGAAGGTCATAGAAGGACAGATATTAAAAAAAATGCTAGCTATAATTTATAGATCAGTTTCCATATTTCATGATGATGATGATTATGATGATAGACACAAATTCAAACTTTTTTTTTAAGACATCACAAGCAAAAAGTGAAATTTGTCAATTAATGGAATTAGTTGAGAAGTGATAATCAATAAAGATGATATAACAGGTTTTTTTCCATTGCAATAACAAAGCCCCAATCATCAATCAATTAATGGAAGGCAAAATGTGTAATATGGTTTTAACTCCAGAAAATATCACTACCAATACTGAAGGTCGATAAAAAGATTTTAATTGGCAGTTTAGTGGAAATCTTTTACACAGTAGTTACATGATTTAAACAATGGAACTTTGTAACCAAACAAGAAAAACTAAAAAGTAAGAATGCATGCGAGGGCTATCTGCCTAAGGGGACCTTCATGAAGGACTTTCTATGTGAAACTGGCTTGTACACATTACATATGGGGAAAACCACGAATATGCCCATGCAGTCAGTCCATTTGCCTGGAATCAAACTCAGGTCAGAACAACCAGTGTTCAGGGACATTACCACTCGGCTGCTGGTGAGCAAATTAAAGAGAAAGTACTATTAGTACAAAAAATGAAGCATTTTTATACATCTTACACTAAAAGAAACATTTAACAAAACAAACAAATAAATAGCGAACTTTTTTGTAAATTTTGATTTCTTTATGATCATTTTTTTTTGTTTGTTTGTGTGTGTGTGTGTGTTAACAACTATTTTATATTTTTTATTTTATAATTTCTATATGTCGTCTTACTAAATTTAAAGTGATGATCTAAAAATCTGGAAAGACTCAAGACGATGATTCTACTCCTTGACATTTGCATTGAAACAACAACAATAATAAATCTTTTGAAAGAATTTATGATAAAAGTAAAAGAGCAGGAAAACACCACACACTGAAAATATAAAAAGGTTTTAATGCATAATCAAATATTTTATTTCCAATTTAATATAGAATGCTATTAAAAATAAGAGATAAAAATTAAGTTTTTTTGGAATCATATGAGCTTTTCATATATCTGAACAGAACTCATACCTTCAGATAAAGAAAAATCAAAACAGTTCATATAATAACATTATGATATAATGGTGACCACAATTTTACAAAACTCTTATTATTTCACAATCTAAATTAAATATAATATTGAATCTAATTAAAATAAAAAAATAATACAAGGTTTTCCAATACAAATATACATATTTAATGCATAATATACAGATGAGATAAAAAAATATAAAGACACTTCAAAATTAAATAAAAATGCTTTTTTTTTTTTTTTTCAACACTACAAGTTCTAAACTAATTGTGATGCTCATTACATAAACAATACGGGAACATAAAAACTCATGGCAAAATTTACCACAAATATATATACAGAAGGAAAACTAGTTCAATGTATAATCTTTTTCAATATATTCTTTTTTTAATAGCAATAGAATAAACTTTTCTATTTATTTAAATATTTCTTTATCCCTTTCTTTTTTGATAAGAATCATGTTTGTATCCCTGAGAAATGCCATTTTAAAAATTTAATAGTAAGAATCAAAATACTTTCTTTGTTAAGTCACTAATGTCTTAAAATTGGTGGTATCTTGATTAAAAAGAGATATGGCCACATAGCCTAGCACTGTATTTCAATTAATTAATTTTCTAGGAATCAAAGTCTTTTTATATTGGTAACACTGAAATTAAAAGGCATGTCTTAAAATTGGTGGTATTTTGGGGTGAAAAATATGGCCATTTGAAGGAAATTTCAAATATTTATTTCCTTCAAACGGCCAGACACAGTTTTATAGAACTGCAAATGTTTTAATACTTTGGATTAAAAAATTTGAGAAACCATGCTTATATTAGAAGTCGGAAAAAAACTTGCAAGGTAATAAATACTACTAAAAATGTGCATAAACATATTTTATTTTAGCATTTTTTCAAATTAAAGAATAAAATATTTTTTGAGGGACACAAATGGTTTAAGAAAATTATTAACAACTGATAATACTTTCTGATCTGGTATTTTCTGCATATAAACTATAACGTAACATTGTATTTATTTCCTTCAAATGCTTATGGCAAGTATATTTGAAAGCTACATTATTATTAAAATATAAATCATGAAGTTCTATTTCTGTTATAAAACAACATAAAACTTGAAAGCTGATAATCATTGATATAGATACAAC